ATTTATTTATTTGTAACTGAGTTTGATGCCCCTTAAATTTTACACTGAGGTAAAGGCCTAACTGCCCTCCCCAGACCTGAGCTCAGTGGTGGTCCACAAACCATCCCAGCTGGCAAGAAAGCTGTAGCCATCCTTTAAACCCTCACCTGGATAGTTTTGACCCTTTCTGTTAAATTCCTCAAAGCAATAGTGGCAGTAATATGACATATTTAGGCAGGTTGAGAAGGTAAGGAGCTTGCAAGTAAGATTTCTTCAGTAGATCTGAGTGCTGGCAAATGTAACCCCACTTCAATGTTCTTACCTTGTATCTTTTTCCTCTAGCTGCCCCTACCATGCTGTGGCCTCCTAGGTCTCTGGCTACTCTTCTCAATCTTTCCTCCTATTTTCCAGGACAGATTTCATCTATACCATCCACTTTACAGTCAGCCCTCCATATCCATGGATTCTGTACACCCAGATTCAACCAACAAGTCAAAAGTATTTGAAGAAAACACATTTGTACTGAACATGTAGAAACTTTTTTCCTTGTCATTATTCCCTAAACAATACAGTGTAACAACTATTTATAGAGCAGCTACAGTGTATAAGGTTTATAAGTAACCTAGAGAGGATTTAGAGTATATGGAAAGATGTGCATACTATGCCATTTTACATAGGGATTTAAGCCTCCATGACTTTGGTCCTAATGAGGAGTCCTGGAATGAACTAAATAACGTGCATTTGCTCGAGTTACTCCCTCTATTTGCAAAATCTTACAGTGTCCCTCTTCACTGCCTATAAAACTGTTCATCCTTTCAGTCACTCTCAAATAGGGCCGGCCTGTGGAGCCTTCCCTAATTTTGGGGGGGGCGGTCTTTTTTTTTTTCTTACTATTTTCTTTTTGTTACTGGGATAGGGAGCTTTTGGGGGGGTCTTTTTTTTACTACATTTTTTATTCTTATTTCTAAGATCACTTAAAATTCCACATGTGATTAAGAGCACACGACCTAGAACAAAGCAGCCTTGAGTTCAGATTCCCCACACAGACACTTTAGCAGCTTTGATTTGGAGCATATTTTCCCCCCATCTCAGTTTTCAATTCCTCATCTACATCCACTTCACAGGATCCTTATGAGTATTAAATATGAATAATATATACACATATATGGCATCTACTACTGTGCCTGTTGTAAAATTGGTACTCAGTAAATGGAAGCTGTTATTGTTCATGTATTTATTATATCCCCCATTACATACTTAGTTTTGCAGCTTCCATTAGAAGATTATGAGCCTCCTGAGAAAATCAGAAGACATATCTAAAGGACAATATTATGTTCATTTCTTTTCTTGCTGGCACATAGCATAGTGTCTAGAATATGTGGGTATTCAACAAATAGTTGTTTAATGGATGGATAGATAAAAGAATAAATGACTACCTGTAGAAATGCAAAAAGCATTTTGATAACCCACAGAGTTGAGGAAACTTCTTAGAAAATTTAAGGCAGTTCTTTCTCACCTTTCACTTGGGCATCTCTTCCTCCAGATGCAAGCGTGTTCTTATATAAATCCATGCAAGTGACTGTTCCCTGATGACCATAGAAGATTCGTACACAAGTCCCACTTTTCAGATCCCAGTATCTGTAGAAATCAGGCCAAAAAATTTTCTGAATGCCCAAGAGATAATACTAATCAGAGTTCCTTTAGATCTATAGGTAATTGGAAGGCCACAGAGTTTCATGGGTAAGCTGAAAGTCAAAGACCTTGATTTGAATCCCAGTTGCAACACTATTTGGTATAATCTGGGGGAAGTTACTTAATTTCTATGTAAGCTTCATTTCCTTATTGGTAAATGGTATGAAAACAACAGTAATTCCCGTGTAAGTTTTTTTGTGAATGATTAAATGCACTAATATAATTATTGTCAACCACACTGATTTCTACTGCTAGGAGACATGTGAAAGTATCCGGCAAGATTTTTGATCATCACAGGCAGAGAGAGAGAAGTGAATGCACCAAGTCCAAGGATGTTACTGAGCCCCACAGTGAACTGTGCATTCCCAAATGGCAGTATTGCGGCCCTGCACGAGTGCATGTGACACTAAAACAGTGGCTGACACACACAAGGTGCTTGATAAATGTTACTGGACTTAGGTAGAAGGGTCCCTGGAATGAGCACCAGGCCTAGAATCCACAGCACTGATTCAGCAGTAGACGTGATTTTCAAGCAAAAGCAACAGACTACTTTACCACTATCACTTAGTTCCAAAATGTTTTGCGTACACCTAAAAGCTATCTAAAAGACATTTGAGAACAGGTGTGAATCATGTTGGTTTTTTGATAAGAAAATTGGCCTGAGGTCTCTCAACTATCATTGATACAGACTTCCTCTTCAGCCTGTACTGCTTTTGTGACAGGGGAAACTATAGTGTTACAATAATGGGCTCTCGTGCCAGCTTCCTGAGCTTCAATCTCAGGTCCATCACTTACTGGCTGTGATCTTGGGTAAATTTACTGAATCATTTTGTGCCGCAGTTTCTTCATCTGTAAATTGGAAATAATAGTGGTACTCACCTCTTAGGGTTATTTGAGGGTTAGCACATAATGTATGACTAACAAAAACTGGGGGAGGCTAAACTATGGTGAGCTTTTTCTTCTAATAGTCCCTCAAGGTCCTAAAACCTTACCAGTTCCTTCCTAGTTGTTCCGAGGCTATGATGCAGCCACAGGGCATTTACCAA